AAATAAGTTGGTGACTATTCATGTATAACTCCTATAGCACTTATTACCATCATTCAGCTGTCTTATACAATAATCCTTCCCAAAATAGAGATTCCCCTCACAAATTAAAAAACATGCTTATTTCCTTTGGTGCATCTTTTCTTAAACCAAGAAACCTGTCTTTCTAGTAAAAGCGTAAATCACAGGCTACCCCCATTGGGAATAATAAATGAAAGTAAACGGTGAGAATTTTAAAAGGAAGACAAATGACAGAGCAGGTATCGTTTACATAAAGAAAACCTAGGAAAGCGTAACAAAAGTAAAGGAAGTGAAGTTTACTTCTAGACCTTAGAAATAAACTCCTATATCCCTCAGTAGAAACAGCTGACAGCCATACGGAACACGTACTGAAGGCCTATGTCTCGGCACGGGTTTATTATAAGCAGAGGCCATCATAAAGCTGCACATACAGAGGAAGGCTAGCCTGAGCACACGACCTAAGTGCTGCATCCTCAAGGGCTCCTGGAACCCAAGGAAGCTAATCAACAACTTCAAATCAGAAAAGTATTAAACACTTAGAGGAAGAATAGAAAGGGAAGCAAATGTCTCCTGGTTGTATATTACTTGCCTTATTATGTATTCTAATTGTGTCTTAAAGCAAAACAAACATTTACACACCTCAATGAAACTGAAGTAATGGGAAAGAGCCTCAGGTTTCCACAGAGCAAGAGCAGTGCTGCACTGGTTACTATAAATTTAGCAATAGTTAACGAAAAATATGCATTATCAGACCTTCATGTACTACCTCAAATTCACCAATCTTACTTTTTAAAAGTTTTTCAAGTTTTCAACCATATCTATCCCCAGGATTTGGAAAGACTTAACTCCTATGCTTAAGAAGAGACTTCTGTGAATAACCTAAGCTTATTATATTTTGTTTCTTCATTGAAACACCAACACCACTCAATCAATATTTGAACAATTAATGGAAAACAAAGTAATATATATGGCAAAAAATTATTCTAAATATTACAAGAAGGCTTCTGAGGCAAAGACTTATCCTGAAGGAGTTGTTAATCTCTTCTATCATATTGATATTTCAAATATGCCAGTTTGGGGAGTTTGGGGAAGATGGGGAATAGTACACAACATTACTCTTGTTGTTTAACGATCATCATCGTTTCAAAAGCATGCCAGAATTTCCAAAAACTTTCAACAATATAAAAAAATATTTTCTCTATTTTTGAATGGGCTAATAATGATCAGAAAGCACATTCAAAAAGGCATCAGTACTGAATACATTGCCTGTTAACTGGAAAAACTGGATTATAGCATTTGTAGATCAAGGAAATAAAATAGGGGATATATAAATATTTTATTAAGAATCTATATAAGAATGAAACAAATTAATTTATAGACTTGCAGAATTTGTTTCCATTTGATTAGAACAAAAAAAAAAAACAAATCCCAGGAACAAAGGGTATTTTTTCAATAATAGATGGTAGGAACATAGACTGAATGTCTGGAATCAAGAATTACTTGGAATTACTTAGGTCTTCAATCAAATATTTTTACCAAAGTTGCAGGAAAAAGTGACATAAATTTATATACTACACATACATTAAGAATGGATACCTCTAAGATGAATCAATTTCTTTAAAAACTGTAAATGGATGAAAACATAAGGAAAATCTTATTTGAAAAAAACCATTCTAGAAAATCATAAGCCAATGTAAGCAATAACTATAAAAAACTAAGACTAGGAAAAAAAAGCTAAGAAATAATAAAGAGCCTGTCAGTAAATCAAACAGAAATGTGCAACATGACAAGTCATTGTAAAAACCACTGCAGTTAATTGGAACCCTCATATATTACTGGTGAGGACATACAATGGTGCAGCCACTGCGGAAAAGTTTGGCAGTTCCTCAAAAACTGAAACATAGAAACATCAGTAATTCTATTCCTAGTTTATACCCATAAGAATACCCAAAACAAGTACTCAAGTAAATACTTGTACATGAGTGTTCACAGTGGCACTACCCACTACAGCCAACAAGGAGAAACACAAATGTCCATCAACAGATGGATAAACAAAATGTAGGTATATACATACAATGGAATATTATTTGGCTTTAAAAGAGGAATGAAGTATTGACACATACTACAATATGCATAAGCCTCCAAAACATTATGCTAAGTGAAAGATGCCAGACATAAAAGGTCACATACTGGATGATTCTATTTACATGAAATATCCAGAACAGGTAAATCCATAGAGACAGAAAGCAGGTTTGTGCTTATCAGGGTCTGAGGCAGGAGGCTATAAGGTGTGACTGTTCAATGGGTGCTGGGTTTCCTTTGGATGTGGTGACAACATTTGGGGGTTTCCCTTGGATGTGGTAAAAATGTTTTGGAACTAGATAGGGGTAATGGTTCTACAACACTGTGAATGTACTAAATGCCTCCAAATTGAACCTTTAAAATGGTTAATCTTATGCTAATTTCACCTCAATAAAAATAAACAAATGCAGTACAAATAGCCCCTCTCCAAAATACAGTTAAAGACAGACATGCTTCTTATTGTCTACCTACAACAAAAAATACTAAAATTGTTTTCCAGAGATGTCTCTACATATCTAATTACCAACTTCTTTCCTAAAAGCCAAACCTGACAAATCCATAGTTCCCTTTCCTCTAGAATCCTCGTCTCCCTGTGGTTCAACTGCTCTTAACCCCGTCCCCACCACCCATACCAATCCCCGTCATTCTGCCCTGAGAAATTCTAGTCCCAGCACGAAACACCACCCAGTTACCCTGCTCCTCTTTCCATGGAAAGACCAACTCCCTTTCCAATTTTTCAAACTTTTCAGTATGTAAACATGACATAACAATAAGATACCCAAATGGAAATATTCAGCGTGGTGGACACAGAGAACTTGAATTCAAGAAAAGTGGCAGATCATCATGAACACATTAGTATTTGATGAAACTAGCTGTCACCTTAGGGGAAAGCAATTTAGAGAAAGGATAGGCTAAATAAATGCTTGTTCTGATGTTCTGCAAAGTTGTGCCTAACCCTGGATCATTCCCTAGATATTACTGGGAAAAGTTATGAAATCCTTCAAAATGAGTTCATTACAAGCTCATATTGTTTTAATTTTGATTGAATACTACTTCTAAGCAATCCTTTTATTCTCTTACTGTTGAATTGTTAGTGCAGTGACTTCCAACCTATGGGCTTTAGACTCCTGGGGAGCTGTAGAATTAGTTATCACAACAGGTAGCCAGAAGCATGCATTATATAAGGCCGTATATGTGGGAAACGGGCCTTACATACTATTTTTCAAATGTGGAGACAATGTCGTGGTTAATAAAATACAAAGTCATATATGAGTGTACTGAATAGCTTTTTGCTAATAAGCATTTTCTCAATTAACAAGTATTAAAAATATAACTATAGTCATATGGGGGGGGTCAACAAATTTGTTCTGAAGTTAATGAAGTTGTCATCTTCAAAATATTGGGATCCACTGACTGAAAGTACTCCCCATAGCACCTAAACATCCTTCCCACACTCTAAGCCTCTAAGTACCCCGACCCACTTCTACTTTCCCAAGAAAATCAAATACATTTTCATATATTCCCTCATTTATCTCAATCCATCTGAATTTATTATTTCTTCTCCACTTCTATGAGTATTTGATAATTTTGCAATTAAATAGCTTTCCAAGACTAATTCAGACATATATACCTGATCCCTTCTCTGACTTACCTCCCCTATTCCAATCTACCAAATAGGTTTAACCTCTCCTTCTTCAAAAGATTTCCCCTTCTACCTAAAAACATTATCAAACCTCTCTTTTTCTGATAAAACTTTACCTGATTCTGCTCTATGTTCTACCTACTAGTCTATCTCTTCTTCCTTTTGCTATCAAATTCTCAAAGTTGGCCTCTTAAGCCTGAGCTTGACACCTGTTTTGTAAGATTCTGTTGAAATAGCCATCTCATTTCTTCAGGTATCATGGCTGCTCTCTTAAACAAGGGCAAAGTTAAGTAGTTAGGAAGAAGCTTTCCTATGGATTGGAAACCTAAAATATTTCCCATCTGGCTCTTTGGGAATAAAAAAAAAGTCTGTTAATCTCTGGGGCTTCAAAGCATCAGTTATATTCAATACCATCATCTTCCTCTGAGAACGAGTGCGTGCTATTAAAGGTTTTGGAGCAGCAATACACTTAGTACTTTAATACTGAGCAAAGGGCATTTGAAGGCTACCAATTTAACAGTGTACCGAGAGGACGTAAAAGATCATTTAAGAAAACAGTGCAAGAGACTACGCATTACACATAAAGGGAGAAAAATGAAAGGGACTTTTTCACAGGATAAGCATCAATACTAGCTTACTACATGTGACAGAGGAAACAAAACTAACACCAAACTTCAATTCTCCATGATGTGGCTCTCAGAATCTACATTCTCTTCCACAGTCTACTGTAGACTTACAGCTCTTCATAGTTTCCTACATTACTGATTGTAGAGTTCCTAAAAATCTTAATACTAATTCAGTGTCTTCTATGTACCAGGCATTCCACATGCTTGCTATACGCCTATCTCCTGAGAAAGCAAATCATTTAGGAAAAGGCAGAACCGACAGGGCTGGCCAATGAAGGCATAGGGCCAATGGCAGAGGTGGATGGAGTACTCACCTGTGGTACCAAGCAGAGAGAGAGAGGAACTAAGACTGCACGTCCAGAACTGGCTCTAGCCAAACAGGAAGAAACAGTTATGAATTTGCTTACAGCAGAAGCAGAGTGTCTTTGATATCCTGACATACTCTTTCTGATGTTCAGACAGACCACCATTAAAGTAGCCATTGGTAAGCAAGTCTCATGAGAAACAAGCCAAAAACAAGACAAAAAGGTGCGGAATTAAATGGAACAGACCCTAATGGTCTTTTGTCTAGGAAAAGCAGTCTTCCTTATTAAAGATGATACTACTTTTCAAATGCCCAATATGATACTAACCTTCATTAACAGACTTTTCACATCCCACAAGATTGAGAAGGATATCGTCATCTTTATCATCAACTTCACATCCCAGCAGCATCCAGCTTTCCACATTATCACTTTCTGAAATGGTGCTTTCTTCCTCTTCACTTGAACTGACTTCTATAATCATGACCTCCTGGATTGTACCTGATCTCTCTCCAGGTTTAGACTTCTCAATATCCCTCTTGCACTTCTTATCTGCTAAATCATTAGAATGAACAGAAGCAGGAGAACCTTGGGTCTTTTCTTTCGCATGGACTCTAAAATTCTTTCTTTCACATCTATAAATACTATCTTCATCAGACAGTGTGATGACCTCTGACCCATCTGACAGCTGGATGACCTCACTATCTGAAAGGACAATTAAATTCTTTTGATTCGGTTTACTACCGAATGACTCAGAAACCCCAGAGTTCCTCTCTTCATGTTCTTCCTCCCTGATGACATCATCAAGATCTTGGGCATAATGAACTCGGCTGTACAGCTGAAACTCCACCTCACTATCAACACTCAGCTCACTGGACGACTCTTCACGATAAAGCTCGTCTTCATACGCCTCTACGGTCTCATAGCCACCGAACATCGTGGAAAGCCAGTAACCCTTGATGCTGTAAAAAAGAAAGTCACACAAAGAATGTATTTTAACAGAGCAGATCATGCCTGTTTAGTGCATAACGATACACCTCTGAGATCTAACTTTGGTGAAAGTCATCAGTTTTCTCAATGACATATTAAAAACGATTTTTCTTTCAGGGTAGCACCATTTTTCAAAGCTTTCGAAATTCTGTTATGACCCACTCTAATAATGCCCATCCCTCCCAAATGAAAATTACTACTGACAACTGAGTTAAATTACATAATATTAATGGAAATGTTGTATTTCACAAGTATGTTAGAAAGAAAAAACAGGCTGAGATCCACTGTTTCAGACACCCATCATTTTTTTTTCCAAAATGCTAAAAATCACAAAAATATTTTAGGTCATTCTCACTACTATTCCATCCATTCATCATCTTTTCCCTGGTTCTGTATCCATCTTTTCAGGTATACATTCTCACACAGGAATATTACTTCAATTATAACTGAAATCTACAAAGGACATAATTATTTTATTTACTGCCTTGGTGTATATTTTTATTCTCAATTAAAAAATTAATCCTATGACTTCTGATCTTTGACCAAAAGAATACATAAAAATATCTAATAGGGAGTTCCCTGGCAATCCACTGGTTAGAATTTAGCTCTTTCACTACTGTAGGCTCAGGTTCAATCCCTGGTGGGGGAACTAAGACCCCCTACAAGCCACACGGTGCAGCTAAAAATAAAAATTTTAAAAATGTGATAAACCTAGTTTGTCTCTGTGCTACCTATAAAGATATGCATGAAATACAAACTAACCAAAGACCTAAAATTGAGGTAAAACTCAGCTTTAAGTATGTTAAATTCTGCTCATCTCTCAATTCAGTTTAAATATTATTAACACTTCCTCAGAGAAGCTTTCCTTGACCCACCAGGCTAAACTGCCTCACCTTTAAAGGTTTCCACATCATTTCAAAACATTCACATTTCTAATTACTGCTACTGCTAAGTCACTTCAGTCGTGCCTGACTCTGTGCGACCCCATCCCCGGGATTCTCCCGGCAAGAACACTGGAGTGGGTTGCCATTTCCTTCTCCAATGCATAAAAGTGAAAAGAGAAAGTGAAGTCGCTCAGTCATGTCTGACTCTTTGCGACCCCATGGACTGCAGCCTTCCAGGCTCCTCCGTCCATGGGATTTTCCGGGCAAGAGTACTGGCATGGGGTGCCTTCTCCTTCTCCGTTTCTAATTACTAATACAAGGTAAATTTCCCACGAGCACAGAGCACATCCCCAGGAGGGCAGGAAATACATGCATTTTATTAAATAACGGACCCCCAAAGCCACACAGGCTAACTGGCATTTATCAAGGGCTGTTGATGAACGAATGAATGCATGAATTCTATCATCAGGAATCTGTCTTAAAGCTCTAACAAGTCCAGCATGTGCCTGATGCTGGTGCTCACTCGCTCAGGCAAGTCTGACTCTCCGCAGCCCCATGGGCTGTAGCCCGCCAGGCTCCTGTCCACAGGATTTTCCAGGCAAGTATACCGGAGTGGGTTGCCATGCCCTCCTGCAGGGGACCTTCCCAACCCAGGGATCAAACCTGTGCCTCCTGCACTGGCAGGCAGATTGTTTACCACTGAGTCACCTGGGAAGCCCTTAATATGTGTCTAAAGTATGAACATTATGGTGAGATGAATTTTGTAGTTGTTTCCAACTATTCCAAAGATTCTCATATTATCAACCAAAAATCTACACAGACGTTTCGATTAGGTACTAATGGAACACTGATCAAAATCAAAGTGCTGGGAAAAAAAAAACCCTTTTTGTTAAAAAATCATGGACAGTCTAGAGAACAATTAACAATGATAATTTATTCTTTCTACTCTGCTTTTAGCTACAAAGTATTGAGAAAGACTAGTTGTTTTCTTAGCTCTCTGCCCAAAATGTCAGGGTACTTTTGGTGATACAACCTGCTGATTCCAGGAGTCAAATGAACAAGAGGCAAAAATGTACTACACCCATGCTGGAGTTTCTTGTTTTACAGAAACAAACTTTTGCTGTACACCTTAAACCTTTACAATGTTGTGTGTCAATTATATCCCAGTAAAGCTGGGGGGTCGGGGGGCGATGATCGAAAGATCTGAGTCAACAATACTATACAGCATATCTGAAGTCTAACCAGAGTGTAAATCTTACACATTCTAATCACACACAAAAAAGGCAAATATGTTAGGTGATGGATGTGTTTGTTAACTAACCTTAATGCAGTAATCATCTCACAATATATACATACATCAAATCACTATGTTGTACAATTTAAACATACACGATGTTATTTGTCAATTTATCTCAGTAAAGTTGGGGGGAACCCAACTCTTAACGTCCTTTTTTTTTCCTTCTAAAAGGTACAATATATCTGTTCCCTTCTTGCACTGTCCTTCAGGTTGCTACGCTGTTGTTGTCATACAAGTTGAATGTGGCTGTCTGAATGATAATGCTCATAGCATTTATCAGTTTATATTGAAATGTTAGCCTCAGAGGAATTCAAATAAAAGATGAATCCTTTCCTTTTTATTTAATAGGTAAATTAATTCTAAAAGAAGTCAAAGGAATTATGCTTCCTTCAAAATCCTCACTGGATCCATCCTGAGGATCCAGTGTGGACTTAAGATAAAACATAATTCCAGTGCAGCACAGAAAAAAATTAAAGAGCTAAATTACAGAGTTACAAATTTGTACTACTCTGGAGCCATCCCAAAGGAAAGGGATTAAGAATAGAGCCATAGGCACACCTGTGAATGTATGCCAAAAATAAACTACAGAAATAAAATAAAAACAGACTTCCTTGGGTCTAAGGGTTTATCTCTTTCCCTGAAATGTAGAAAAATGAATTTAACAATTTAGCCCCTATGGCCTTTAAGAGGATTTTGTACCTTCTGTACTGAAAACTGTGCTCAGCATAACCTACTCTTCTATTTATGTAGCTTATATTTGCCAGAGTAAAGATTTGCCTGAGGCTGTGTTGGTTTATGTTACTACCTTAATTACACTCAAATGCATTAATTTTCTCTTTTTATGTATACTCAGAGGACAAATATGAAAAAATATACATGTCTCTAACTGTTTTAATTTAGAAGGACTTCTCGGCTTTTTGATTATTGTACACAATTCTCAAGCACACTTAACTAGATAAAAAAGTCCCTATGAGAGTCACAAAATTTTAAATCTGGAAGAGACCTTTCAGAGTATCTCATACAATCTTCTCAATTTATATATAAGGAAACTTAGGTCCAAAGAAATAAAGAGGCCTATCCAAAGTTATTTACCTGGTTAAGAAACATATTTCACTGATTCTCAACCAAATGTTCACTAACATTTAAAAAATGAACAACTTCAAATAAAGATTAAAAAAACAATTCCTTCAAAGCTATATATGCATTGGTTTTAACATCTAAATTTATCTCACAAATATCCACTTTATTTCCCAGTAGAGTTTAAAAACTATGGAAGAGGCATTTTAACTGGAAAGAAAAGCATACATTATCAGTTTACTATCCAAGAACATCCCAAGTTGGTATTCAAAGACAATAAATAGCAATGCCACAACCAAAAAAGATGGCTATTACATAAGTGAATAACTGCAAAGCCTCTCACCATTCAAAAGTAGAAGCAGTATTCATTCACTGAAATTTTTTAAACTAGACAACTTAAAGCTTATTTAAGCTTTCAGATTTTACTATACGATCTTTAAAACCAACATTTCTACTCTTACAGTCTACTAAATGGTCACTTCAGTCTTGTGCTATTTCTTTTCAAAGAACTTTTAGCCTATGTTTCTTTTGGATGAGACAGTTATCCATCTCAAGGAAATTTAAATGAAATTCACATCTTGATTTTAAGCCTAGCTTTCATTAGAACATGATTAATAGTTTAACTTCAACTTAAAATTTCTGACTTACTCTTGGTGAGCTATCCTGATAGTGACAGATTTGAAACACTACTGATGTTTGTGTTAAATTTTCTGTCCACTCTTCAAATAAGACTTTCATTAGGAAGTAAATCAAACTGGGATAGAGAATCCTAATGTGGGAAACAATGGTCACAAAAAAATCAGAATACAAGATGTTGGGAGGAGAAAATAATGCTTAATTTATTCAGACAAGTCCAGCTGTTCCTGCCATAAAGTCTTTATAGGATAACTAATTTTATCACAACACTTCCTTCACCCTCAGCCTTTTTCCTTTTGCACACAGGATCTTAATCTTTGAAGCTATTTTACAACCCTCACTTCCATGTCTTCCTTGGTTAATTCCCCACTCTCAGATTCTCTTGAAAGCAGCCACAGTGAACTGTCCTAAAAGCACAATACTGTCTGAAATATACACAGCCTAAATACTTAAAACACAAAGAGTTTTGGAAGAGACCTGAAAGTCATTAAATTGAACGCTCTCATTTTATACATAGAGAAACAGGCTCTGAGAAGCTTATATATTCACTGAGCCTAAAAGATCTCCTACTTCAATCCTGTAATCGGAAATAAAGGTAAATACACGCTAGAAAAGATTTCTAAGAATTTTGAGAGTCACCAGCGCCGAGTTGGTGGTGGAGCCGCCCCTGGAACTCAGGCCTACTGCCTCTCACTCAGCCAGTTTTCCCACAACACCTGCAGCTCCTAAAGTTTAAGTTAACTGTCGGCTCCCAGGATGTGAAAGATAAAAGGAAGGCATCAGCGAACACAGCGCAGGTCTCCTCGTTTCACATGCGGGAAGGGGCCCAATCCTTGAAATTTTTCTGTCCCAACAGCTGCAGCTGCTGCTTCTGACAGCTGAGGCTGGAGTCGGTCCAAGACTGTTCAGTTCTCAAAAGCCGACCTCTCTTCGCGTTTAACTGACAGACCGGCTTCCCTGAAAGAGGGATCTCTGGGGGTTGTGGAGGTGAAGCAGGCAGAAACGCCACTCCCCACCAAAGCCACGGGCGCTCGGCCATTTCTGAGCCACGGC